TTTAACATACAGAAGTGATAACATGTGAAATATATATTGTAACGACATACGTGAACTCACAGTAAACGTTAACAGCAGGCCATAACCTTGCGGACGAACTTTCGGCGCGGCGCATACCCGACAATCTGTAGAATGTGAATCTCGTGCTGTGATGTTTTTCGTTGGGGTAACTCTAGATGCTGTACGGGACAATATGGCTTAGATAGTCCTTTGCATCTGCGTCCAAACGTCATGATAACCATAAATATGCATGAAAATTTGCGGTATGTAAAGTCTGTTTTTCTTTCAGTATTATTAGCTCGTGAAAGCGCCAAGTAACCTATACATTTAAGGACAGCTGTGACGGCAATCAGTCAAGTTGACTAATTTGACATAGCAAGGTGAACTTGAACATCGAATTAACGATGTGACCAATAGAATGAAGGACCTAATGTCTAACTCACCAATAGAGCAACATGCAAGTACTTCCATGTGCTTAAACGGCACATTGTATTGGCATATCATGCTCATCAGATTCGCGTATATAAGGCGGGAACGGGCACAGGTCTCTCACAGCTTTGCCAGTTGAAGGTAAGTGTTTGAAGAAGCTGTGAATACATCAAGCGTAAATTATGCATTATGTAATGTGGAGTACTGGTATTCTGCTATCGTAAATTGTTTGAGCATCAGAATTTCTGTATGGCACTAATCTGAATAGAGCTTTGTAATGTTAGTTAACACCAGGAGCAATGAAAATAACTGATAATATTAGCTTAATTTGACTGTTCGGAATGTTGGGATACATTTGCAATTGACACTCTTGAATGCCATGTACGCTACCGCTGACTTCACGCCGCTACCCAAACATACCAGGAATTCGTATGGATGGGCCCACTTGTCCCTTCACCTAAATCGATTTGGTATTTTTAAATGAAATGTTTTGATACTGTCTTTAAACAATACCCCTGGTCTTTTCAAGATTAACCTACGCTTTGTTTACATTTCGATAATCTTTTTTTTTATTTTCTTAGCTGGATTCATCCTTCATATCGCACAAATTAAGTAGTGTTGTAATGTTTGGCGAAATCTTCACTCCCTTCCCCCTCTTCCCCCCTCCCCCTAGCTGCAGTCTCTCTCTAGTTTCTCCTTGGTGTGAGCCTCCAACCAAAGAGCCACCATGCCAGCCTACGGTCCCAGTCTCATGGACCAGCCGTCCGAATGGTTCCTCGCGGGGAAACCAGACACCATGAAGAAGCTGAAGACGGCACCCTATGATCCTAAGAAGAACTTCTGGGCTCCTGATAAAAAGGAAATCTTCGTCAAGGTCGAAGTCAAGAGCGAGAAAGGTGATGACGTCACCTGTGTGGCTGAAGGCGGAGCGGTAAGTTTGTAGTTCAATCGCCACTACATCCGGGTTATACAGCATGCTTGGCGATTGTTGTTTGTCCTACTGTCATAATATTGCCAATATGAACACGTCGAATTTATGATAAGCCGCCTATTAGAAAAATGACACTTTGACCAAAAAAGTTTAAAATCAATTTCAAACCATTCTCCCTGCTTCTTTAAAACAACTCTACCTGTGATAGTGCCTGTGCTACTGTATCTAACTTTGCATGCTTCAGCAGTTTGAAATGTTGCTGTTTGTTAGCTTTATCAATATCAAATAGTTGAGTTAACCATATATAGAAATACATGGAATTGAGGATTCCTTTCCCATCAGACTGTTGTGGTCAAGAAGGCCAAGCTGCTGCAGCAGAACCCGTCCAAGTTCGCCTGCGCAGAGGACATGGTGAACATGACCTTCCTGCACGAGGCCGCTGTGCTGGGTAACCTGAGGGAGCGTTATGAGAACACTCTCATCTACGTGAGTATTCTTTCATGTAATAGTCTATCCGCATTTTGCAAATCTTGACAAGCGATGACATCTAAGCTATTTGATACCTTATCGTGATATGAGAAATGTAAAAATCGGGTTCCTAAAGGTAGCATCTACATCATCTTCAATAAGTTTCCAAATTTCCTCTAGACCTACTCCGGCCTGTTCTGCGTCGTGATCAACCCCTTCAAGCTGCTGCCCATCTATACCCCGAACGTGGTGGACCAGTACCGCGGCAAGAGGCGTACGGAGGTGCCGCCCCATCTCTTCTGCGTGGTGGACAACGCCTACCAGAACATGGTGGCAGGCAAGTCCCTAACTCAGGTTCTATGGTGATCCAAACAGCTAAGACCATGAGGAAACCCAGTCCTCGTAATGATTGGGGGCTCTGGTGCAATATTTTGTCTAAACAACAAGTTAAGGGTTTACGCCCACAATCTTTACCCATCCACCCAAAACATGCTTGGTCAACGACAATCTATATTTGTATGCGGTTGTGTTGACAAAAATGGGGAGGGAGAGATCGAGCCCAAAGTATCTACTATCTTAAGGGTAGTTGTCAGCAAGATTGTTGTTTTCTGCATATTGCTATATTGCTTGCGTAAAATGAGCCTTGTAAAATAGCTGACTTTGTTTATAACACGATAGTCTATTTGCTAATGACCATGTTTCCGTATTACTTTTCCAGAACGCCAGTGCCAATCTTGCCTCATCACGTAAGATATTTCTATATTGCTTTCTCTATGTGACCGATGTATTATTACTGATGATGCATAAATACTGATGAAATGTAGAGTGGCTGTCAACATTGAACACTTTCTCAGTCTGCTTATTGCTTATTATGGTTTGATTAATCTGCGCTATTCCTCTATAACCATTCCCCGACAAACACGCTGCAACATAAATCTTGCCTACACTTCAGTGGCGAGTCTGGAGCCGGGAAGACTGAGAACACGAAGAAGGTTATTGCCTACCTGGCCATGGTTTCCGGAACCCCCGGTGGTGGCCAGGAGAAGAAGGTACGTCATTTGTAAAAAGTATTAATTTTGTCATTTAGTAGAGATATCTTGGCATCAAACTTCACCGATTGGGCGAGGGCTGAGGACAACATTGTTTTCCTAAAAGTCAAACTTTGTCCCCTAAAAGTCCATAGTTATCGTATTGTTGTTTGTTTTACTATTTCTGTAGATCGGTCTAGAGGAGCAGATCGTGCAGACTAACCCTGTACTGGAGGCTTTCGGTAACGCCAAGACCGTGAGGAACAACAACTCCTCCCGATTCGTAAGTACAACAGGTTGCTTTCTAGTGACAACAAATTCAATGACATCAATTGCGTGGCAGATGAGTTCAAGTGAACAAGTAAAACTAATATTTTTGAATGCATGTCAACCTTCAAAATACGTTTCTGTTTTGCATTACAACGCAGCTTTTTTTCATTGACTACCTCCAGGGTAAATTCATCCGCATCCACTTCACCAAGATCGGCAAGCTGTCCGGAGCTGACATTGAAAGCTGTATGTACATCAATCCTATTCCCTATTATCAAATTTTTAATGATTCTTCATAACCTGTTGAGCTGAAATTTAACATTGCCTTTGTCTGTAAGGCACAAACCATTCTTTCCGAAGAATATATACCATGTACTAATGTATGTGTACTAATGTATGCACTGACACAATTTCAGGCATGAAGTATTTTCTTTTGAAAACATACTGCTCTTAGTGGTAAATGTGCAGTTCTTGGCACACCGGGAACACAAAATAATTGTCTGCCCTAATCGGTGTTAGGACATCCTTTAGACAATGAATTAGCAGAGAGGCTTGATGGGTGTGATTCACTGTACACTGAGGAAAGTTGCGTAAAGTGCCTTTCTCTAGGGTAAAGCATCGGGCATGTCAAATGATCGAACGCGGGACCTCTTGGTTCTGAGCCTAACGCACTGACCATAACGACACGCGCGGGCTTTACTTCATAATACACTGTCTGTAATATACATGTATGCTAAGTTTAAGTCACTTACCACATATTTCCCTCTTCTTCTTGAATTCATCCAGACCTGCTGGAGAAGTCCCGTGTAGTGGATCAGCTGCCCGGCATGGAGCGTGGTTACCACATCTTCTTCCTCATCATGTCCAACGGCATCCCGGCTGTCACTGGTAAGAATCATCGAAGTGGTTGATACTGCAGAGAGGGATAAACAAAGATAGGAAACGGTTGAGCCACCTCAGCTTCGTTAATGGCAAAGACGTCTTTGCATTGATAAGGTAAGCTATATAATCCAAACAATAGGCAGAAAATTGGTGCATCCAAAGACCCTACTTTAAGACATACCAACAACGCCAATTAACGAATGGGAGGGTCTTTGCTGCAGTTAAAGAGGGGAGCTTCTTGAAATAAAAACATATCTCTTTCCTACAGAGCGCATCATGACTGGCACGGACCCCTCCGTGTACCACTTCGTGAAGGAGGGTGTGTACACCGTGGCCGGTATGGACGACCAGGAGGAGATGCGTCTAACGGATGAGGGTTTCGACATCCTGGGTTTCGCTAACGAGGAAAAGTCCAGTGTGTACGACTTCTGCGCTGGAATCCTGCATATGGGAAATCTGAAGTACGTGGACAAGAAAGAGCAGGGAGACTGCGACGATCCTGCTCGTAAGTTCTCAAAAAATTTTAAAATTTGTATCGAGTCAGTCCGAAACCAGGAATTTTTGCTTAAAAATTGTGGCGTCTGATACGATTTGCTGGTATGGCTATCTGTACTAGAGATAAACAACGATTGTACTAAAATGGGTAGTACGATGCGTTGCTTGTTCCACTAAACATTTCTGTAAAAAACAGTATCTTGCTAAATCATCGCGCCATTGTTCATAATCATTTTACAGCTGCGGAGAAGGCAGGCCGCATGTTCGGTGTCGATGGCATGGGGCTTTTGAACAACATCTTGAAGCCACGTGTCAAAGTCGGCAACGAGTTTGTGACCAAGGGCCAGACTGCCCAACAGTGTTCCAACTCCACTAGTGGTTTGGCCAAGGGTATCTATGGCAAGATCTTCAAGTACCTGATCGACAAGTGTAACGAGACCCTGGCTACTGAGCACGAGAGAGCCTTCTTCATTGGTGTGCTGGACATTGCTGGCTTTGAGATCTTCGAGGTAAGCTTTTTATAGAGAAAACACGTGACAAATCATATCTTTGTTAATCTGGTTTATTGGTTAGTAACCTCCTTAAACATAGTTTCTCTGCCTAGGCTTCTCTAACTTGTTTGTTCTCTCATTCAGCTCAACAGTCTTGACCAGATTTGCATCAACTACACCAACGAGAAGCTGCAGCAGTTCTTCAACCACCACATGTTCGTACAAGAGCAGGAAGAGTACAAGGCTGAGCAGATCGAATGGACCTTCGTCGACTTCGGCATGGACTTAGCAGCTTGCCTGGAGCTGATCGAAAAGGTTATCAAACTTTTCAAAAGGAAAAACCATTTTTCGGGGGAGTTGAAGTATGTCTTTTTTGCCCCTGTTACATTTAATTCACCGTATGTAGACTTTCAAATTCTAGGTGTATTCAAAACGAATTTTTTTAAACATACAGAAAAATGGCCTGCTGCCAACGCTGGAGGAACAGTGCATCATGCCTAAGGCCTCTGACCAGACCTTCATCGAGAAGCTGCATAACACCCATCTGGGCAAGCATCCCAAGTACGGCAAGCCAAAGCCAGGCAAGAAGAAGTACGAGGCCCACTTTGAGCTGGGTCACTACGCCGGACCTGTGGCCTACAACATCAGCAACTGGCTGGACAAGAACAAGGACCCCGTGAACGAGAGCGCTGTCATCACCCTGAAGGGCAGCAAGAACCCGCTTATGCCTTTCATCTGGGCAGACTACCAGACAGCAGAGGAGCAGGCTGGTCAGTAATTTTCGATAATGTATAACAACTATTTGTTTTGTTGACACGTTTATAGTATCGTTCTCTAAGGCCTGTAGATATTTTGTGTAAACAATGTTCAATCATTATCTTGCAGCTGACAAGAGCGGTGGCAAGAGGAAGAAGAGTGGCTCCATGCAGACCGTTACCAGCGTTCACAGGGTAAGAAGTTGACAGAGAGATCACTACAGTTTGATTGGTCTAATTTGTTCGAGTGGCAGATTCGTAGTAAACCCTTTGTGCTGTTCCCTATTTGTTTCCTATAGGAGCAACTGGCTTCATTGATGTCCAACCTCCACGCCACCTACCCCAGCTTCGTGCGTTGCCTGATCCCCAACGAAATCAAGACTGGTGGTATCATCGACGGGCCTCTGGTCTTCAACCAGCTGACTTGCAACGGTGTACTTGAGGGTATCCGTATCTGTCAGAAGGGATTCCCCAACAGGAGCATCTATGCTGACTTCTTGGACAGGTGCGACTTTAACATTGTATGGTGGTTTGGCATATTTTTTGTTCTTGCTGCAAATGGCAACATCTTCATCCGCAAAATTTCACATATATTTGTACCGTCTACGTCTACAGGTACAGGGTTCTGGCCGCTGACCTGTTTGATCCTAACGAGTTCTTGGAGGGTAGGGAAGCCAGCCAAATAATCCTGGACCATATCAAGTTGGACAAGGCCAGGTACTCCTGTGGTCTCAACAAGGTGTTCTTCAAGGCTGGCACCCTGGCTATTCTTGAGGAGATCCGCGAGGAGAAGGTCAACGAGATTTATGTGAAAATGCAGGCTCGTGCCCTTGGCAAGAGCCAGCGGAAGAAGTACATGAAGCTGTGGGGATCAAGGTAGATGATCGACTTTTCCCTAATGACCTTATGGTCTTTCAGACACTCATGTTATAGCTTACATATAATCAATGGCGTGATAACTGAAAAGGACTTCTGTATGACTGTTGATAAGTATTCTACTTTGCCTACATTAGCAGTAAAAGCCCAAGGACTGCTACGTACATAGTCGTTAAAATATGATGTGATCTTCCTCTCTTTAGAGCTGCTGTCGGCACACTGCAGCGCAACATCCGCGCCTGGTTCAGGCTGCGTGATGACTGGTGGATCAGGATGTACCAGGCTCTGAAGCCCAGGCTGACTGGAGGAATGGCAGAGGAATTACTTAAGGAAACCAAGATCAAACTCGCGGTAAACTTCTCTTCTACAGAGTACACCATTGAACGTGAAACTATCGACTTCCGATAACCTCATTCGCAGTGCAAGATAGCCCTTGTAAACGTCTCATATGCCTATCACATTTAGCTCACTTTTCAGACTTGGATCTAGGTACTGTGATAGTTACAAACGCAAAGAGAGTCCTCTACCTATTAATATCATTCAGCGTACACCGTAAATCTTGGTCACATACCAGAGATGCATGAAGCCTCCAGCACAGTAGTCAGATGTCGTGTGGTCTCATGACTCATGAATCAAGAATAAACTTATACTGTCTTTCTTGTAGAATATGGAAAAACACTACGAGAAGGTTACCAAGGATCGGGCGGAGTTGGAAGCAAAGTACAACGACGTCCAGGCCGCCAAGGACAGGATCAATGAGTTGCTATTCAACGTAAGAGTCCAAGATTTCTACCAATAATGCACATACTTTTGTCACATATAAATGAAATGTCCTACAATTGATACTTCAGTCGCAAAAAAACTACTTAGGGTTGATGTGATAGCACATTTCCACATGCACACAAGAGATATTTAGACATAACTGACCGTAATCAGATCGTAGATATACGGCC